ATGATTTAGAATAAGTTTGAAGTCCTACGTGCAGTAATAGAGACTGTTCAGTTTGGGTTCAGCTGAATATTTTAACAGCTTTCCAAGCACCTCATGAGAAACATTCTGCTCTCCTGCTATCAGAGTGCCATGTACAGAGACAGACGGCAGGGGAGCAGAAAAGCAGTTAGACTTAAGTACTTAGAGTGGTTTATGAGTATACTATCAGTTAACTGTGGATTCAGCTTTTCCATGCCAACTTCAAAGGTTTTTCACATCAATAAAAATGAACGATTCATAATTTCAGCCTCCTGGCTGGAGAGGATGAATATTAATATTCAATCATTAAGAAATAATCTTAACTCAGCATACAAGTGTCTTTTTTCCAAGTGAATGATAATGCAAGCCCTCTTCAGAAATAGACTCCAGCAACTGATTCCTCCTCAGATAACTTCGTTCAGCAGTAGACCTTCAGAATCTGTGTATGGAGGTCAGGGTTATCTGCCAAAGAGCTCCTAAGATACTATAGGTTAAATCCACATCCTACAGAAGTCAGTGGGGTTTTGTCATTATTTTAAGCTAGTCAAGCTTTCATTAAAAATATGCATGTCTGCAAGTATGTCTTTTCTCTTACCACTGTCACTTAGGATTTACTATAAACAAAAGCACCCTATGCAAAAGTCCATTAAGATACATATGAACTGTATTACCATGCTACACTGGGAAATCACAGAAAATATAAAACCAATGAGACGCATACAAGCTGCTGCGAGAAAATTCTAGTCTTGCAACCCCACCAATGTTTAAGTGTCTTAAGAAAACTACAAGATCAAAATTGTTGCAACCATGTCTCTGTTCATGCAAAATAAGAAAAGCATCAACAAGACATTAAACAAAGACCATTCTAGAAACAAGAGAAACATGGGGTAAGTTACCACAAGTATGCTTCTTGGTGTTGAGACTTTACAGCAACTTCAGTCATTTGCCCAAAACAGAAAGAACGTATTTATTTGGGCATCAGGAAATATTGACCTTTTGGCTTTGATTCTGAAAAGATTCTTTTAATTTGTTATGCTTGACTACTTAAGAAAAGCCAAGGGTTTGGAAGAGGGATGATAGCCAAATGATCCTCTTCCCCAGTAAACTGTTAAGAGATACTCCCGTGCAAACTTGAATATTATGAAATGCCCAGCAGCACACAACCAGTATATTAATCATGCTATGGCAAATAACTTCTTATTCAACAATAAAACCATTCATATTACCTTTTGGATAATATGGCCATTTTTCTTTTTTTATTTCACAAGAATGTCTAAACTAAAATTTAAAATAAAATAAATCAAAAGTTGTGGTAATAATGCAAAATCAAAAAACATATTCATGGCAAATTAGTAGGGCAAATTGCTGGATTACGAACTGGAGTTTAACCGATGACCTAAAATGTAGGAAGCCTTTTAGAAGTGCTTTCTGGTCTTCACCTTTTGCGACTCTGGGAGCATAATGTTTTGACCTGTCAGACCTATTGCTACAGTAACACGCATCGCACGCACACTTCTAGAGTCCCACTCCAATAGTCAGCCCAGAATTTGGCCCGAATTATGCTACCAGTTACTAAGAAGAGATATTTGTCATGATTCCAGGTAAACCCTCCAAAAATCTGCCTTTTCTCCTAGGTTTCTAAGGATCAGGAGATGAAACAACTTCATATCACTTTCAAAGCACGAAGAGATAGATCATTACATAAAGATTTATTAAAATGGTACAGTTAAACAACCTGAGACAGAAGAAGAAACAAAAGTGGGAGGAAATACTCTAACATGACCCAAAAACTGGTCAGAGAGAGATACTGGCCTCAAAAACATTTTCCTCTGCTTCAGCTGATCCTGCAAAAGTCCTCATAAGCCCCTGTCAGTGCTGTACATTTGAAGAGAATGGGCGAGATGGGGAAGAGGCACAATCTGGGGCAACAGCTAACTTCTGAGGAAATACAAACTGGACTGCATACTGATCCCTGGAAAGTTTACCAGTAAATTCTTGCCTGTTCCTCCTCCAAGCTGTTCAATTCCCTGTACTAGAAGCGGGCAGGCAAAGAAGGAAAGCACCAGCCACACAATTCCAGTGACAGCAATGTTTTTGGAACCCAGGACATTGCATGGAGCAGCTAAACTTCAATGCTAATGCTCTTACATACATGGGAGTTACCTGTCATTCATAGACAATCTACAAAGTTAGTGCAAGTCCACCATTTCAATAAACATAACCAGTTACCCAAGCAGATGGTTCTCTAGAAACACAAGTTTCCAAAATAGCTTGGTTTTCCATGGGAGTTTCAGTGGAAAGGTCTAATCAGACCCCCTAAGCAAGTGTAGGTGCAATATTTTCAGTAGACTCAAAGTTTAAAGAACTGGTGAAAACATGATGAGAGCTATGGAAACATGCTGCTATTCTGAGAATGAAGGAGGCTGGAAAGCACTGGAAAGCCAAATTGCATCAGGAACTGGGAGAATGTCTGTTCACCAGAGCACCTCAAGAATAAAGGAAAAACTTCTTTACTGCCTGAGTCCCCAGGGCCTGGCGCAGTGTGCAAGCACCTACTCTGGATACTTTCAAGAAACACTTGGATGCCTATCTTGCTGGGATCATTTGACCCCAAGTGACTTCCTGCCTCTTGGGCAGGGGCCTGGGCTCAATGATCTTGCAAGGTTCCTTTCAGCCCTAATGTCTATGAAATCTGTGATGAAGTGGGGAAAAAAAGCTAAGATCAAGAAATGAAAGACTAGTTAGAAAATGTGGTGTGCAATCAGAAGGAAACATTATATCCCAGTTCTCCAACAATGTGTTGTAGCACTTAGTATAACTAGATTAGAAGCCCAATCATGCAACACTCTGCCTGACACTTCTGGAATGTGCAACCCCTACGTCAAAAAACAACATTTTTAAACAGATACAAAAATATGGCCCAGAAGCTGCTCCTTTTTACCAGGTGCAGTTCAAAGTAACACCACAGATTTTAGTAAAGTTATTTTAGATTTACCTAGCATAACTAAGATCATAAAAATTCTTTAACCTTGAGAATTAAACATAATGCTGGTTTATCTGGATAATGTCTTGTTCTTCCTCTGCATTTGAGAACTGCATTTGGGGTATGTGTTGTTTTATTCTTCCAGGCTCGGGAATTACTACTAATGCCAGACATATTTATTTATCTGTCTTACAGATGCTACAATGTTTCTGGAGTAAAAGAATGGTGCACCCAAATGGTATCTGTACATTGAGATAGATCTACTTGCTCACACAATTCTTCAATGTTATTTCTCACCTGAAGGGCAACATTCGTCACTAGGGTTAACATCAGCAAAGTCAATGGTGTCAAATCAGGGATTCGTTTAGCCCTATATTTTTTTTCATGTGCACCCTTCTTAGATCATAAATTCTGTGGAGCAGGGGCCATGTCTAGCTCTATGTTTGCACAGCAATTAGCACAAGGCAGACCCTGATTGGGGCCTGAGTGCTACCATCATGTAAATGTTATAGAATAACAATCACGCTGTTTTCTTTACATATTTATTCCGTGGCACGTCTAAAGAATAAAGGAAAAATTCCCTAATATATCAGCTATGTGAAATTATATTTTCTCTACACGTGTACTCTGAAAATACTTTCAAGTTGCACGTAAAAAAACCCAACAAAACAGAAATCTTCTAAAAAAGGTGCAGACCAACAATAACAGTCATATTAAACTGCTGTAAATTATGGATAGTGCTATGTAATCGTGTTTAAAAACTCTGAGTGATCCTTTCATGTCTATTTTTAAAAACTGAGACAAGTTATTTTAACTATATCTTCCAGTTATAACTGGCGTTTTCTGAGACATTAATATTATTTTTGTCAAACCTCTGCATTTTTTGCTAGTGCCGGAGCTTCATGTTCTAAAGTTCCAAAGTGTAAAAGTTCCACATTTTGCCAGCCCTGTAAGAATCAAAGTTTGTAGGATAATATTTTAAGGGAATCCACAAAGTAATAAGGCTGGATTCCCATTTCTTTCCTATTTCTCTAATACTCAATGTTATTTTGCTGCACAGACATCATCTGCTAAGTGACATACAATGTATTCAACAGTCCTGAGGCCCCAATCCTGCAAGGGCTCACGTGCTTCACTTAATGTGCCGTGAGGAGTCCCAGAGAAGTCAATAAGACTATTCACAGTGCATAAATCTTAACGGGATCCAGGCCTGACACAGCACCACCCAGCAGCTGAAACCGTGCAACCACATCATCTATCAGACAGTGTCAGGTGGAAAAGCAAGCAAAGATTCACAAACCCATGGGGTCCTGTCTTATGCTACTTACCCCTAACACAAAACTTCCACCAACAACACAGACAGTTTTGTCAGCAGAAGCAAAGCAGGTGAAGGTAGGTCTCTGATTACAGAGATCCTTTGTGTGTGGATTTGCAAGAACTGGAAATTCAGACCCCCTACATACAGACCCCGTTTGCATGTTGCGGGTGCAACAGCCATGTTATGGGAAAGCTTTTTCTATCCTTCCTGCTTTTAGATGGAAAATCATCAGTTCCTCCTAACTTCTGGAAATCCCGCTTGGTGCTAAAATTTCTGGTGCTTGGTTACGGCCTCCAGATTTTATTTTGAGGACAGAAATAAAAAAGAAGCTATTTTAGAGAATGAGAGGAGACGACAGCCCTTGTTCTTCTCACCCTGGTAGATACAAGACCCTCTGGTGAATTGTCCTAACACTTCTACAGCCACCGTGGGTGGAATAAGGGCACTGCTCGGGTGACAGAGGAGCCATCCTGTGGTGGGGGGTCCTAAGGATCTGGGTTGGGAGCCTCAGCAGCTGCTGCGCTTGTGCTCCCAGCTCGCAGGGCCCTGATCCATCGCTGCCGGCCTGGGCTGCCTGGCTAGCGAGAGGGATCCCCAGCCCCCTGCGGAGAAGCCGGAGGTGGGGGGGAAGCGGGGGCTGTGGCATGGCAGCGGGGACGGTGCGTGTGTGCGGGGCCTCACCTGCACCAGGGTCATCTGGGAGCCGAGCGCCAGCAGGATCTTCTCGGTCTTGGTGGGGTAGGGATTGTCGCGGTGCTTGTAGAGCCACTGCTTGAGCGGCCGCGCCATGTCCTGCAGCGCCTGCCGCTTGTGCCGCACCTTGCCGCCGCTCTGCCGGGTCCTGCGCAGGGGAGAGGCCCGGCCGA